TTTTTTTAATTTTAATTAAGTAGAGAGAGAGAGAGAGAGAGAGAGAGAGAACGCGAAATACGGATAAAGTTGGAACAAATTTGCGATGAATTCAAAAGCATCGATGCGAAAAACTTTTAGATGGGGCGCAAAAAGCACGGGCGTCGAAGCAAAGGAAACGGGAGATTATCGTTGAGGAGATCGAAATGCGAGGATCTCGATTGCGTTGACGACAGGAACGCAGCGAAAACGGGGGAGGAGAAGGAGAGTGGGGGAAAGGAGCGGAAATTTTCGAGGAGCGGAGGGGAGGAGGAAGTGGTCCCGTCGAAGGTCCCGATCGATGCGCGTACCCGATCGATGGCCACATTTTTACGGGGCGACGATCCATCGGCGACGATTTGGCGGGAATCATCATCGAGCGAGGACGAGAACGAGGATGAAGAGAGAGTCGAGTTGAACGTAAGGCCGCGATTCGTGTTCGCGTCGAGCCTTTGCGCGATATGTATGGAGAGGTCGAAATTGTTTTGCGATCGTTGCCGAATGGTGTCTTATTGCTCGACCGCGCATCGAGCCCAAGGATCCACGAAGCACGGCGAGTTGTGCGAACCGTTGAACGAGATTCGTTCGTCGATGGCGTCCACGCTCTCCGACGGGTCGCGGCTCGACGCGGAACAGTATCGCGTTTACCGATTAAAATTGGCCGCGTTTCTCGAATCGAGGATCGGAAGGCCGTTGCAACTTTGGGAGAGAGAGATCGTCCTGTATCCGAGAGTTTGCAGGAGTTGTCGTTGCTTCGGCGAGAAATCGATTTGCTGCTCCCGTTGCGGAATGGAATACTTTTGCGAGGAGCACGCCGGGGAACACGAGAATTGGTGCGCGCAGTTTCAAATTTTGCAAAGGGTTTTACTATTCCAGCATAGATACGGTTGGGTCGATCCGAAAATACCGAACGAATACCGCCAAATATCCATTATCCGACCCGATCTCGATCTCGACCGCTTATTATTCGAGATATACGGCGATCGCTGTACGTACTATCGAAACATGGACGCTTACACGTACTCGACGTTATCCCAATTGTGCACGATCCCACTCACAGCACTTTACTCCACGCAAACTTGTTGTCCCGAGTGGGGGGATAAAATCGAGTGGACGATTCATCTGGTTGGCGCGGAGTTTCAATTCGAAGGTATGAATTTACGGGTTTGGGAAAAATTGTTCCTTCATTTTTTGCCAAATTTAAAGAAGCTCCGTTTGATCCTGATCGGGCCGGAGTTACGATTGCCGAGCGGCGTGCCACCGAAACTTTTATCCGCGGTTCCATTGTGCAAGAAGTGTAAATCCACCGGTAGAGCGGTCATCGTCACGTTTAAACCCGAGACGCTTTATCACGAGGCGTCGGAACGTCTGGTTGCGCCCGATCTAATTTGCGTCTACAATCCTGGCCTCTATCGAAGAACCGGTTCGGGGGGAAAGATAGCTGGCTGGAAACGATACGCGAGTTTTGCAAAGCGTCGGTCCCCGTCACCGTCACCTCTTATACCAAGCGCGAAATTCTGTGGGAGATAGCTCGTATAAGTTCCGTCGCGGATGTACGAGTCGTTTTGCAACCGCGTGAAAATCCATTCGCATCGGTCAAACCGGATCGAAACTTTGTCAGCGACGATACCGATCCCCTTATCTACAAGAATTACTATCTCACCATCGTGAGAGGTGAATCGAATTTATCGATCAACGACCACTCGTAGGTGATGATCGATTCGTATATATACCACCTTTGAAAAATTTTTTATTTCCATTCTTTATTTCGAACAAAATGATATGGAAGAATGGGGACAGGAGAAGACAGTTCGTTTCGTGTATGTTCGCGTATACGTATTTCGGCACGTATTCGTAAGCGCTTGAAATTTGGTCGAACGTCGAAACGATTGCCGTTTCCTTCCGGCAATTTCTATTTCTATTATCTAGCCGCGAATCACTGCACACAGTAATTTCGTTTGCAACTGAAGTGCGTTCCGAAAAGAAAGACAGATTATAATTATACAAAACCATTTGCGCCGCGTTGGATAAGATACATAGAAATCGCGAGAGCGAATATATATATTAATTAAATTACAATTAGGGATTGTACAGTTATTACGAGCTAGTTTTCGTATACATATCTATATCACAGACGAAACTGCATTAATCGGATATAAATATACGTATGCGTTCCGATTCGAACGATGGAACGCTTGTAAACGCGTTATACCTTGTATACTTGTGCACTTGTGTACGCATACCGATACAAAATATACCGATTATATTCGACTATGATATACGTACAATACAAATTGTTTACCTAAACAATATAATTCGAAACGTGAAAATTATGTACACGGTGTATCGTACAAGGTGTATCGTCCATCGCGTTTCAGATCATACGATTAATTACTTAATGTATTCACACACGTCTCTTTGTTTGTGCGGTTTTGTACTGTTTTCAAAATCGAAGAAACAAAAGAGATGAAGGGGAAAACAGAAGAAGAAGAGGAGGAGGAGGAGGAGGAGGAGGAAGAAAAGAGGAGAAGCGAAATAGAAAGAAACGGAGCGTGTAATTTAACGCACTTGCTTATACGTACGTATAGGTATAAATTATTTAGATTGAGTGGGGAACAGGGATCGGAGATATTATTTGGATGAGAGAGAAGGAGGCGAGTCAATTATATATATATATATATATAGAATGTAGATCCTCGATGTATAGAATCAATATTGACGATTGGCGATCGTTGAGAGAAGCAGCAACAACATCAAGAGAGGCAAGACAATGGATGAATTGGTATTACGATTCACCGAGTTGGCCACCTGGTAGAAGTAACGATTGTAAACGTTGTCACAATGGGAAGGCCAGTCTTTGAAGCAAGCCGCATACGCCACTACGTGAGCGATATAATTTTGCTCAAAAGTACCGCGAATCAAGTGGGAATACGGACCTGTGGGGAAAAAATCGAAATGTAAATATCGATCGAAAAAATCGTCGGATTAATGGACGAATATCTCGATAAATTTTGATGCGTTGTATCGCACGCATCGTACGCGTACACACGCGTAGAGAAAAATAAAAGAGAGGATAATAAATAATTCTCGCGTTACCTATCGCGTAAACCCCGACATCTTCGCCCCCGTGTGTCTCGTCCTCCAAATATATACCAGCCATTTGAGTGTAATACGGATCACCGCGTGTCTGATCCCGATCGACGGGCCTCCACGTTTCGTTCACGTTGCTGCTATCGTTTCGTCGATGGTAAAAGAAGCCTGGACCGTTGATATAACTGAGCGTCTCGTAAGCCGGTACGTTCGGTTTCGATGGATCATTGGCGAAACCGAGGATATCGTTCCCCCTCTTCGGATAACCGTTAATGGTGAACGCGTGGGAATGATCGGCGGTCACGAGCACCAATGTTTCTTCCAATTTGACCAGTTGAAGAGCGGTCGATATCGCCTCCTCGAGTTCCGATAATTCCCGCAACGCCAACTTCGCGAAATTATGATGATGGGCCATGTCTATCCTCCCGCTCTCGACCTGCGCGCCACCAGAACCGAGACATATTTTATTATATATCGTAGTTCACAACGGATATTTTCAACGGATGGAACTCACCATTAAAAGGAAACCATTGTCGTTCTTTCGAAGCAATTTGATAGCTTGTTCGGTCATGTTGGCCAAACTCGGGGTCTCCTCGGTTTTGACGGCGTGATAGGGGAGGTGGTCGGTAGCGAAAATTCCAAGGATTTTCGACGTGTTGGCGATATCGACGGAGAAAAGTTGTTCGGAGTTGGTCACCACTTTCCCGTCGGGGTTATTTTCCTCCCAGTACTTCGCCAAATTTTTCCCATCGCCCCTGACGCACGTATCGGGATCTATCGGTTCCATCGGCAAGCCTAAAAGTTGCGCTCCACCGCCCATGATTACCTGTCATGTTTTTCATCCGACGATTATCAATCCGCTCGATTCGTTCGGAGATAAACGTAAGAGGAACGTAAGTTGACACTTGCCTGAAACTTGTTTCCCGGTTCGTCCTCCACCAATTGTCTCCCTATATCTTTCACGCAATCTTTGTATTGTTTCGGTATCGAGGTATCGCATTCCCAATCACGATTATTCACGTGAGCGTACAATCCTGCCGGGGTGGCATGGGTCACCCGAGTCGTGGTTACGAATCCTATACGAATTTCAACGTATTGATAAGTTTCGATAAGAATACAGTATTTTCTTTTTTTCCTTTTTTTTCTTTCGAAAACGAACCACACGTCGATCGATATGTTTATTTCATTATATAACCGTGATAATGCGTGAAAAGAGGAGAAAAGAAGAAGAAGAAGAAGAAGAAGAAGAAGAAAAGAGATAGAAAGATATATATATATATATCGCGACCTAGATAAAACGGAAGGTCGATCGTAGCGTGCGTTTTTGCGCTCGTCCCGGCAAGGTCTATCCGACGTTTAACGTTTAACACCGGTAAGTCGACCGTGAGTCGATCGTTGCTGCTACCGAGTCACGTTTGCGCGCGTGCTACGATTTATCTTCAACGTGTTCGATATTCGGCCGAGTTGTATACACGCGTTATTTACCTTTTATTTTTCTTCCTTCTAAGAAAAAAAAAAGGAAAAAAAAAAGGAAAAAGGAAAAAACGATCGCTTACCCGTGTCCATGCCGCTTTGCTGAGCCCAATCCGCGACGGTCGTAACTTTGCTCGCTTGATTGATTTGCTTGTCGCATTGATTGTACGAGGATCTCGTGTCCAATCCGATAACCTTGTAGCGACACTTGACGCCGGAAAATATCGCTGTAGCTGTTCCAGCCGAATCCGGAACTTGCTTGTCCGTGTTGTAAGTCTGTAAGGAAGAGGAGGAGGAGGAGGAGGAGGAAGAAAGCGAGAAAAATTAATTTGGATTTATGCGTATTATACGCACAAGTAGATGCATGATATATGACACGATACCTTGGCGAATCCAGTGTTGGGAAACATTTCGAACGCCAATTTATATTCTTCCCCGGTGTTACCCTTGATTTGGCCTTTGTAGATTCGGCCTGCCGTGATCGTAGAAATTCCCATCCCGTCGCCGATGAAAATAATAATATTTTTCGCGCGATTCTCGTTGTTTCGATGAGCTAGGATCCTTCGAAGATTCTCTTGACCAGATTTCAGCCAATAGGACATATCTACGAATCGTAAATGTAAATGTAAAATATAAAACGAGGACAAGATTTTTATCCGAAGAAAAAAGTGTTGGTCCGATCGAATAAAACTCGAAATTAAAGTTAAAGAAACGATACCTACCTTCGTAATCGGTCGCGTTCCGAGGTAGGGGTTTGACAAACTGGAGAAATCCCATTAGAGAACAGATTAATAATAAGAGCGGTCGTTTCATGCTTGCGTCGAACGTGAGAAATCTGTAACAAATTGTATACATCGTATCGCTAATCTTCGATGATGCAAACTGTCGTAAAAATCGTTATCTTTTATATCAGCACGTACGTATGCGTGTTGAGAGTAAGCGACGAAAAAACAGGGGAATAAAAAAAGACGATGATATCTCGCGATGTTATGCGATGTTCGTCGCGCGATTTATTTATAAATTAAATAAACGTGGAAGATGAAGATGCATCGATGAAAACGGACGGAAGAGACGGATGAATTTTCTAATCGATACCTCGCCCTCGATACCACCCATACTTCCATACCGTACCGTATACGTGTGTGTATACCTAGGGTAGGGTATTATTTATACGGATAATAAGTAGCTATTGTAAGTGGATTATGATAGCTATTCTTCGTTCGTTCGTTCGTAATTTAAGGTTTCTTTGATTCGCGCGTATGCCGATTGGATAATGACAGGTTGGAAAGGAAATATAAAAAGCGACGTTTGAAGCGGGAACACGTTTATTCTCGGATTACGCGTGTTGGCGCGTGTCGAACAGGTTAGACAGAAATGATGGAAGGTATACGAGGAGGACGAGCGACGAAACGAGCGATGAAAAGGGGAACGTTAATATTCGGGTCAGTCAGCGGGACGAGTTGCGTTACTCTACAGAGTCGGTGGCAAGGCTATTGTGTAGGGTGTACGAGTGATATAATCGTTCGGAATACTCGAACGCGGGTATAGTATAGAATCGCATGGAATAGCGAAGGATAGCGGTCGGTCGTAAAATGGTACACGAGCAGGTAAGTAGCAATTTATTCGTGCAACGAATGATAATGTGACACCGGTGAAAATGAATTACCTACCTAGATTACGTTAATGCGAGAAAAGCGCGTATTTCCTTTCCTCTATCCCTCTGTGAGATACGAAGAAATAATAGATTTTATTCGTGTATATATATATATATATATATATATATATATATATGTATCTATACATTATATATATATATATATATATATA